AGAAAGCAAGCCACCAGGTCTAGGACTTGAACTGTGGTCAGCCATGTAGGAGTGTCCAGCGCCTTAACCACCACTCCACCTGCTGGTCCCTGGAAGTGCAAATATTTCTTCAAAACTCTGTCTTATTCTTTAAAACTTTTGTTTTTTATTTATGATAGTGCATGTGTGCACACATATAAGAAGAGAAAGGAGGTCAGCAGGTGGCATGGTGGTTAAGGCACTGGACATTCCCATGTGGCTGACAACAGTTCGAGTCCCAGACCTGGTGGCTTGCTTTCTCACTTTCCCTCTCTTCCTCTCTGTGTCTCTCTTTGGTCAAATTAAAAAATAATAATAATAAATAAAATTAAATAACTAATTCTTTAAAAAAATAAAAGGAGAGAGAGAAAGATAGAAGCACCCTTGACAGGGTCTTGTCACATCACGATCCCCTTTCCTTAGCCCTCTAGCTCATCAGGATCTTGACAATGTGTGTACCCTGTTTCAGGTTGACCTGGCCAGGGATCTGAACCCCTGGTTGACCATGTGGCTTCCAGCATTATAGTTCAGCTAGTTACCAATTGTGCCACCAGGCTTAGGCTAAGGCCCTGTTTTCAGTTCTCTTAGATATCTATCCAGTAGTGGAAGTGCTGGGTCCTATAGTAATTCTATTCCTTATTTTCTCAAAAAACACTATATTGTTTTCTAGAGTGGGTACACCATTTTATATTCTCACCAACAGTACAAAGAGGCTCCAGTTTCTCCACATTCTTGACAACACTTGTTATTTTTGTTTTTCTACATAGTAGCCATCCTAATGGCTATGAGGTGACATTTTGCCCCTTTGAGACTCATTTCCTCATCTGTCCTACAGGGACAAGAGTAGGAATAGATTATCCCCAGCTACTGATGCCTGATGGTGGGCCTTCTTCCTGCGGGGAAGTATGTGCTGCCCACACGCAGAACTTGGAATATTGAGGTAGGTCTTTTTGGACATAATAGAGCCCAAAATAGAAATTGTTGTAATAAGAAGAAAGGAAACATGGGGCTGGCAGGTGGCATAGTGGTTAAGGGCACTGGACTACCACATGGCTGACCTCGGTTCGAGTTCTGGACCTGGCGGTTCGCTTTCCCACCTCTCTCTCTTTCTCACTCTGGTCAAATTAAAATAAATAGTTAAATAAAAACAATTGTTTTGGGACCAGCAGTTAGCGTAATGGCTAGGTCGCTGGACTCCCATGTAGTCAACCGTGGTTTGCGTCCCGGACCCAGTGGCTTAAAACTCACGCCGGGCGCATGTGCGTGCGTGCCCAAGATCCCGAGAGGAGAATGGAGGAGAAGGGATTGTGGTGTGGCCATTGCCCCTGGGAGGTGATTTCTCACTTTGTCTCTCTGTCTCTCTCTGTCTAGCGAGCGCACGCACCCTATAGCAAAAACCTCTCCAAAAAAAACCCAAATGTTTTAAAAGAAGAAGAAAGGAAACGAGGAATAGGACATGGAGTGGAGAAAATTTATTCCAAAGATGACTTCCACGTCTTACCCTCCTATTACTTCTAGACCGCAGATGGACACAATTCAGGATCACAGAGGGGCCTTTGGACAGAACAATGCTTATTCTTTCCTCTTTCCTCTCCTCCCTCTCCTGTTTTTTTTTTTTTTTTTAAACGTAACACACACACCTTGCCTCTCATTTCCTGCTCTTTATAGTGCCATGATGTCATTTGACATAAGTACAGTGAAAAGCTCAGAGTGTCCCTGTAATTCTAGCCTTTATGAAAACCAGAAGCAGCTCACATGAAGTGCTGTTGTCTTCATTCCCTAACTTTGGGATTTCGCTGACTCATCATTCCATGTGTGGCCTTGGTGAGGAGAGCACCTGGGTGGAAACCTTACCCCCAGCTACTTCTCTGACCAATCTGATTGTTCCTGTGCTTTTTTTTTCAGCTGATACCCCTTTCTGTGTGTTTTCCCAGCCGGCATCAAGACTGGATATAGAACCACATTGAACCCAGACCTGGCCTGGTTCTTCCCTTCTCACCTCACTCTCTAGACATTTATTTAGACCTCATGTTGTTTCACACATGTGCCCCTATCCAGGCTATCTTTCTTTCCTTTCTTCTTCTTCTTCTTTTTTTTTTTTTTTTTAAGGTTTCTGCCATAGGTCATGTGTACTTGCTGGAGAGAGACAGAAAGAGACACAGATTGGGAAAGTGAGAAATCACTCTTCATAGGGGATGGACATGCCATAATCCCTTCTCCTCCACTATCCTCCTGGGATTTTGCGGCACGTGCACACACATGTCTGGCATGATTTTCAAGCCACCAGGTGTGGGACTCGAACTGCTATTGGCCACATGTGACTCCAGCACTGTAACCACTACACCTCCTCTTGGCCCCTCTACTCAGGGTTTTGATTCGGCTTAAGCATCCTTCCCTCTGGGAAAATGACCCGACCCAACCCTCTATGCTGAGCTAAGTGCCCACTAGGGTTTCCTGCAACACTCGTGCTCACCCTGACCTTCGCAGAACCCACGTTTGTCAAACTATCTGAAGTCTGCATTTCACTAATGAGAATTCTCTGCTTGGCCAAAGGAGGAGGAAGAGAATAAGAATTTGCATGAGGCCACCCTTGGCCACTGAGCAGTACCCTCTGAGAGTGAGATGGTGACCCTGACTGTATCTTAGTCTTCAAGTGTTTCTCTGCTGGGAGTACCTGGCCTCTCTGGGAGTGATTCTGGTGTTTAAGACATATGTTTTGGGGCTGGCAGGTGGCGTGGTAGTTAAGGGTACTGGACTTTCACATGACAGACTGTGGTTCGAGTTCTGGACCTGGAAGCCTGCTGTCTCACTTTCTCTCTCTCTGTCCCTCTTGGTCAAGTTAAAATAAGTCAGTAAGTCAATAAAGTTAAATAATTATTTGGAAAAAAAACAAAAAGACATATCTGTTTTAGGGCTAGTCTGGTGGCACAGCATAACTCACACCCCACGTTGCCACACTCACACAGGAGGTACTGTACCCACCCCAGGTCTCCCTGTACACCGGGGTAGAGTGTCCATCATCCTGGCTGGCTGAGGCTGGGGGTAGATGACAGTGTGAAAGCCCTGCTGGAGTTTCTCTTTCTCTTGTGGAAAAAAATAAACTTAACACACACAGCTAGGTGGCTGGGATGCTGGAGTGGAGTCGGGGGATTCGTACCAGGGCTTACTGTTTATTTTAATGTTTATTCATTCATCTCTTCCACGAATGAGCACGAGAGAGGCAGCATCCCCATCAGGGTCCCGCTGTCCCACTGATGGACAAGAGCTGCCCAGCTTACTCAAGGAGGTCTCCAGATGACAACCTGGAACCTCCGTACATGGGCCAGGGCGTCTTGTTTTACCTGTGCAAGCCACTGTCTGGTCCCCAGGCTCACCTATGATTAATGCTTCAGGAACTGGGCTCAGACCCCAATTCTGTTGCTAATCAACCTGGATACTTTGGCCAAGGTACTGTAACCTGACGAAATTTCAGAAGGCATCTGCCTTTATCCTATAGGGTTGTCCTGAGTTTTAAATGAGGCAAGGAATGTAAAGTACCCACAAGCAGCCTCTCTTCCCCCCTCCCCCCCAGAGGTTTTTTTTGCTTTTGGGCGCATGCACTCGCCAGAGAGACAGAAAGCGAGAAATCACCCCCAGGGGGGATGGCCACGCTGCAATCGCTTCTCTTCTGTTCTCCTCTCGGGATCTTGGGCACGCACGCACACGCGCCCGGCGTGTTTTAAGCCACCCGGACGTGAACCGCGGTTGACTACGTGGGAGTCCAGTGACACAGTCATTACGCCAACTGCTGGTCCCAAGCAGCCTCTCTTAACAGTTCACATCACCCCAGTCAACACACTTTCTCCCTCCCTGACCATCGGCTTCATCCCCACTGGCCAGGTGGGCTGGCAAGAGGTGAGCAGGTAGCAGCGGAGGGAGGTAGCATTCCCGGTGTTCCAGCCTGCAGGCGTCTATTGAGCCTGGCTCCAGTCTGGCACCCAGGGATGCCTCCAGGCCTCCGGCAGCTACAAAAAGCCTGGTTATAATATTCCAGGTACACTTAGAAACTGGTTCCTAGGGGCCTCACGGGATTCGCCTCGCCCCCACCCCCGCCCATCGATGGCATTCTTCATTGCACTCTCCCATCCGCACGTCATTTAGCTGACTCCGGGTTGTCCCCTCCTGACCACCAGCTCCTGGAAGGCAAGGCACGCATGGTGCTCTCGGGATGCCGAGTCCAGCCTCCGCTGCGCAGAGCCGGAGGCAGGAAGATTTGTTGACTGAATCTTCGATGTCTGGATCAGTTAGCGACGCAGGAGCCGGGCCCCTTCTCGCAGCCTGGGCCTTATCATGCTGCCGCGGCTCAGCCGGCGCAGCGCAGTCCCAGGCGCGCATCTCGTCTGTAATCCAGGCAACCCTGAGCTGAGATCCGTCAATGCCAGCCCGGGGGGCGGCTCAGGTCGCTGTCCGGGCCAGCACCCGGCTCCTTCGCGGGAGCCGGCGCGCTCCGCACAGTGGGAACCTGCCGCGGGCACCAGCCCTTCCCGCGCGGGTCCCGCCCCTGCAAGGCCAAGTCGCCCCTAGCAACAGCGACCCGGCCGGCCCTCTCCCGCCCGCTGATTGGCCGAGCCG